AGGATGTTTCCTTCAGCTGCAGCTGAAGCTGTTGTTTTGGACCAGGGCGGGGGAGACAGGGGAGGCGGGGGTTCAGGATCTGCAGGGTTTTGGGAACTTGAATTGTTTTCAAATTCACTATTCTTCTCTGGAGCCGAAGCAGTGAACCGATGCGTCAGGCCCTCCACTGTCAGCAGAGCCATGTCAAATTCTCTTTCTGAAGCCAACTGTCTAGAATTCAGTTTTTTGTTTCGTTTAGTTATCTTAGCAGTAGGGTGCACCGATCGCACTTTTCTGGTCGATCATGGATATTTAAGAAGCCTGACTATTTAAGAAGTCAGATTTTGGCCCAATACCAATATTTCCTTTTTCTTTTTCTCTCTTTCCTGGAAAGTCGCTCAGTTAGCAACAGCATGGTGTTACTAACTGAGCATGTGCAGACGTGACGTGTGCAGAGGACAAAGTTGACAGTGGCTGATTTTCCAATTTTGGTCGTAGATACAACAGAGTTCTCATGTAAATACGAATGAAGGGCAGGTTTGAGCCATCGGTGCACCTGCACTTTTACTCTTACTTTACTTTTACTGTTTTTGTCAATAGTGTGGAAAATATTTGACATCTTTGATTTAAATGTTATTCAGATATGAGAGCAGGTTTGTGAATCTGAGGGAGAAGCAACAGCGTCAAATCTGGTTCGACACAATCACAACCAAACGACTGTTAATCACATTTAAAATGAACTTTGGAACAAAGACCAGCCTGGAGTTTGTTTACTGAACCTGTCTCTGTTTTTAGTGCTGCTAAAAACACAACCAGATGCAATGACCCGTCTACACCTTCAGCAATAATTTAAAGAGGTTGTAATGATTCCAAATGAATTGATGGTTTCATTTTTATCGAAGGAGATCGACTCCTTCAAGACTTGTGATAACAGCGTGCGCTGCCGTCACGTTTGCATTTGGTTTGGAGACATTCTGCCTCAGGTCTGCCGACCCTGGAGGATGTGTGTGTCCTGATGGATGCAGCTCATGTGAAACAGCTTTTAATGAGCAATAAAGGACAAGGGTGTGAATCGCTGCACATTAGTTCTGTTTGAGGTAGGATGAAAGCATTAATGTTTTGGTCCCAAAAGCTGCTGCTGCTGCTGAAGAAGGAGGAGAAGAGGACGTCACTGTTAGACCTATGAAATGATTCTTGTAGATAAGTAAAACGCTCCAGTCTCAGCCTGACCCTGCTGCTCAGGGTCAGCCATGCAGGACAACAATGACAACAACATGGAAATGGTTTGGACTCGTTTGCAGAAGGTTTTGTACAGACGTGCTGAGCTGCAGGCCCCCTTCTCCCCCCCTACACACCGTCCCTGTCCTGGGTCGCTCTCGATGCTGTTGGTCGTCCTCCAGTCGGTGTCTGTGGTCAGGAGCATCTGGAAGTCCAACCCCTCCGGGAACTGACAACCGTTTCAGAAATTTTCAATTTGTTTTGAAGCTAAATTTTGCCCAAGAAGATCAACTGCAAATGAGTTTTTGACAGATTTCTAAAGATCCAGTGACGACCGACTGTTTTTAGGTGATTGACTCGTTCTCTTGGTGTTGATGGGTTTCCCTTGAATTTGTCCCTGGTCCCCCCCTCCTCTCCCCTCCTCTCCTCCCCCAGATACTAACACGGGTCTTTTGTATGTAATAGCCCTCAAATAAAATCATGATATAGTGGTGCTACATATAAATATATATATATATATATTTATATTTGATAAGAATGACATATTGTCTTGTTACTGTCAGAAGATAATTGTGTGTTCAGATTATGGTTTATGGGGTAAAAAAATCTATTTTGGATACAAATTTAAATTTAGTTGGGTAAATTTGTGCTGTGATAAATAAAGCTTTGATAGACTTTGTAAATAAAGCCAACTATTTGGACCAACTATAATGAAAGCTTTTCTTTGTTTTCCTTGTGTTATAAACTGTTTTCCGCATGGCTGTGAAAGTTTATCTGGTGGTTTTTGTAAAATCGGACTTTTACACTGAATAAAGAGCTTATGACGTCCGACGCTCGGAAATCCTTTTTCTCAGAAAGTTGAAGGAAACGATTTTCTTCACACAACAGAAAAACACGAGTCCTTTACCAATGATCCATTTAATCCTCAGATATAATCGAGACACAAACAAATCTGTCTGAATATACACTTTCAAATCTACATGTACATTGTTGACTGTCCTTATGGAAGCGTCTCAGTTCATGCAAAGCAACCAAACAGTGAAAAACAGAAGTTTTCTTCTGTTCCTTTTGTTAAAAACATTCATCTGGAGTTTCAAATAAACTTCTTTCACAAAAACTCCTGCTGACTCTCAGTAACATGGAAAAGTTTCCAGCCACCAATAATTAGCTTTGCTTTCTATTCTTCATCCAGACAGAAGGTATGAACGCTTTTTAGAAAGCCTGTATAATATCTGCTGTATAACTGATGAGTTCAGTGAAAGCCCTGACCTCAGTGTGACCCTTGACCCCAGTAGTGACCATCAGAGGAAGACGACCAGCAGACCACCATGCTGCTTGGCTTCAGGCTTTCATTTAAGTCTCAGTTCTGTCAGTGTTTTTAAAAACTGCATGAAATGCAACATATAGTTATTGCAAGATTTCCTCAGGTTTATGCGCCGGTCCTTCATGTGGCCGTGACCCCCACCGTGACCCCCACCGTGACCCGGCCAGCTTTCCCAGACTCACATCCTGATGAAAACGTTTTGCTTTTCATTGAGGCACTGATTTTGGAATTCATCATTCCAAAATCACAGAACAGTGCTAAACATTAGCGACGTCAGAGAGTTTCCACCAGGCTGGTTTGATTGAAGGAAACATCAAGAATTTGGCAGTTTTGCTCCAACAAATCAAAGTCCCAATAATCAAACATTTCTAGATTATTATGGGACCAGACCCTCTAAATGCTTTTCAGCCAATTCACATATTAAATCTCTGCACCATGAAATTGACTTCTATAAGTTGAGATCCTGCAGCAGATTTAGATTGAAACTAGAGGCTGAAGCCACTGAGACATAAAATGCATCTAGAAGAATCTGCTAATTCAGCACAAACATCTGAATGAAGGAATGAATAAAACAATTCAATGTGGATCCAATCGCAGCAGAGGAAAGCTTGTGGTTCATGATGTTTTCAGAGGAAGTGACAGACAGACCCGTTTATGAAACCCCACTGTTAACATAATGCAGCAGTAAAAAAATTAATTCAGGTTTATGGCAAGTTGTCGCTTCCAGTGAAAAGAAACCAACAGATTCATTCATTTCAGTTCATTCAGCAACAGCCGTAGGAAAAAGTTCCCAACAAACTGGAGTCAGCTTCCGGGCAGACAGCGGAAGTTCTCACGTGTTGAAGAACAAGGAATTATGGGATTGGACTGGAATCTCTTGAACCTGTGAGGATCAAGATGGCTGACAGACCACAGCGCTGAGTCCACAGCCAGCTAGTCCTTCTCGACAGCTGCGGTGATAAACGGCCGCTGTTCTCTCAGCTCGAGTCTTATGCAGCTCGTGACGTTGCGCCCTCGCGCGTTTAAAGAGACAGTGGCTAATAGCGGCTAGCAGCTACTGAGCTAACCGGAATAAATCCCACTGGGTTTCTCACTGATAACTGGAATACAAAAAAATAATCAAAATAAATGTTTTTTTTAAATCATAAAATCTCATCTTCTTCAAAAATTATTAAAAGCATACACTTAAATACCTGTTCGCTGATTTGTTGAACAGAAATGCCAGGTGTAACAAGTATGTTTAAAAAATATAGATTTTATATGAAGGTGCATACTGCCACATCACATGGCAGAAATATTTCATTCTGTTATTTTAAAGAGCGTTTTGTTTGGATCTTCTACAACTTTTATATACACTTATGTATGTGCATACTCATATGATCTATATGCTTATACGAATGTACATCTGTAGAAATGTATCAAACCTACTGTGTGAGAACACAGGGACTGCATGCACCAAACACTCCGACATGCTGCAGACAGACACACAGAATGATCTCCAACATTTTATTTTCACTGGAAGTGGTTGTTTAACAGCAGTACTGGAAACTTGAACCAGTAGCTGGGTTCATGGCGTCCTGTTGCTGAACTGCTGGTGCATGCTGGTCTCAGCTCAGGTGACCATGATGATCTCAAGTGATTGGCTGAGGAGGTCTCCAGGGAAACCGTTCATATTATGTTTGTAAAGAAGTCCACTAAAAATCCAAGGCATGAAATAAAAGCTTTAAAAAAATGTTTAGTTATTGAGAAACAGTTCAGGATTTACACGAAATATTCTCCACTTCCTTAAGTTACTGTTTTTCTCCACAGCTTATTTTAGGCCATTTCTCTGAAATTCTTGTACACATTGGGGCTCCATAGTTTCAGGAGGCAGTTTTTTTTTAGCCCTACATTTACATTTAAAGAAGGAGAAAAAAGATGCCATGTTTTGTGAAGACTGATGAACACAATGATGAGGTGAATGTCAGCTGCAGCAGTCTACGGGACGTGGAACATTCCTGGAGAACATGCACATGGATCCTGATGGTGGAGAACAGAGTGGAACCTGGGGAATATACAGTAAACATGTCCGACAGCGTTCCTCTGCCACCATGCAGGGTGCCGCAGGTCTGGCCCCGACCCCAGCTCCTTCCCCGTCCCCGGCTCCGGCCCCAACCCCAACCCCAACCCCAGCTCCGTCCCCGGCTCCGGCCCCAACCCCAACCCCAGCTCCTTCCCCGTCCCCGGCTCCGGCCCCAACCCCAACCCCAACCCTAGCTCCGGCCCCGGCTCCGGCCCCGACCCCAGCTCCGGCCCCGGCCTCGGCTCCGGCCCCAGCTCCGGCCCTGGCTCCGGCCCCAGCTCCGGCCCCGACCCCAGCTCCGGCCCCGGCCTCGGCTCCGGCCCCAGCTCCGGCCCTGGCTCCGGCCCCAGCTCCGGCCCCGGCTCCGGCCCCGGCCTCGGCTCCGGCCCCAGCTCCGGCCCTGGCTCCGGCCCCAGCTCCACCCCCAGCTCTGCCCCCAGCTCCGTCCCCGTCCCCGGCTCCGGCTCCAACCCCAGCTCCGGCCCCGGCTCCGGCCCTGACCCCAGCTCCAGTCCCGGCTCTGGCAGCTGCAGCAGCAGGTCAACCAGCGTCACCGTCCTCCATGACACCTGCTCCTCCCTGCAGGGGGAGCAGAAAGGCTGCTGCTGGTTTCTGGAGGGAACCAGCCGGCGCCCAGAGCTGCCAGAACATCATTGTCCTCTGATACGGCGGGGAGGAGTGGAGGAGGGAGAGGGGCTTTAGAAAGGAGAGTTCATCCCAAGTTTTGTTTCAAACTGCAGCTTCTGTCTCTTCTGGTACCGAACCCGTTCCCTGAAGAGAGCAGAGAGGGAAATAAGTTGACATGATGGAGGTGAGCAGAACCCAACATATGCTACTTCATTTTTTTTAACAAAAGCAGGATATTAAACCTTGTTTTCAGATTTTCTTTTACTCTGTTTTTTGTCTGATTTCATGTCACTAACAGACACTTTTCCATTGCTGCTGCTGTTTAAATCAAAATGTTTTACTTGAATCATAAAGGGAAACCAAACTGTTCTGCTCTGGCTTTGAATTTATTGGGTTTTATGTTTGTATGTATCTACATTGCTGCCACCTCTTGTGCACACGCTGCGTTGACTGGGACGTGCCTACGCTCTGGTTCTGGTCTCAACGTACCGTATCTCATGCAGCTTCACCACTTCGTTGACCAGCACCACCAGCAGCGGGGACAGGGAGGCCAGCAGCCACACCTCCAGGGGAATTTTGGCCAGGCTGAAGGTCAGAGGGCTGCTCTGGTCCCGCCACAGCTGGTAGTCCACCGTGGCCTGAACGCCCTGGCCCAGCAGTCTGGTGACACGGGAGCAGGTCAGGAAGTGATCTCTAGAGGAGGCGTGTGTGTGCCGGACATGAGGAGGAGGACTTACACCACTGGCACAGTGAGGCACCACCAGGTGTTGTTGAAGGGAGTCTTCCTCCACAGAGGCTGGGAGCGGTGGACGTAGCTGAGGGAGATCACCACTGAAAACAACAGCATATTGATTTTATTGTCACTTTCGTCGTTATCACAATAATATTACTAAATATTGTGGAAAAACTTTGTGTCCATTTGCCTCACCTGTGTGTAGCACTAGAAAACCAGCCATGAGCTTTTGGGTCAGCAGCAGGCCGTTGGACAGATCACCAAACCACTCCAGAGTCTCTTCTGATGAGCTGCAAACACACACACACACACACACACACACACACACACACACACACACACACACACACACACACACACACACACACACACACACACACACACACACACACACACACACACACACACACACACACACAGAGGTCAGACATGTTTGATATTTCCTGTTTATTACCGATTCATCTCCTGTTACAGACCTGGCTGTGAATATGGAGCTGCATGTTATGGAGTTGTTACTCAGAGTGAGGTTGGTGCCAACAGGACACACAGTCTGTAGGGTGAAGCCGAACACCAGCAGGTACACACACACCGAGAGGCCGAACTTCAACAAGAAACAGCCCAGGAAGTAGTTCTGAGTCTGAAGGACGGGAGAAGAAGAAAACAGTCAGGCTCACTGGGAAACGTCCTGGAAACTGTGCAGGAAAGAAACTTTACAAGAGCTTTGATGAGATGTTGAATGAGATGTTTCTGTTTGTTGTTGTTTTTTTTTTTTAATTCAGCCAGATTAAAACCAGCTCCAACACTGCCTCTGCTCTCAACTCATTGCTATTCAGAGATACTTTTATTTATTCTTAACGGGAAATGAGGAATTGTTGTAACTCCTGTTATCAACGAGTTGTTGATGCTGGTGACTGTGGACAGAAAGCATCTCCTGTAGCAGTCTGTGTTACAGCCATTCTAAAGAAGTTTCTGACTGAAGACACTCTCTAGCTGTACAACAGTCTGATGAAGAGGATGCTCAGGGTCCATCCTGTGATCTTCTTCATCACTGACCACACACACATCTCTGATAGTGTTTCTCTATAGTTTGCTCTCCATCCTCTCCTTACTGTTTATAATTTTTACTTTAAGTGTATCCCCCAGTAAGCATCTGGGAAACCATGTCAGTGTTTTGGTTCTGATGGTGACGTTTATCTGCCGGTCCGTCTGGCACAGAGCGGCCCAGTCAGTAACCTCAAACAGCCCTGCAGCTTCTACAGGTTCATCTCAACGTCTTCTTACTGTTATATTTAACTAAAGTGATTCTGGTCCAGATTCTAGTGCAAAAATAAGACAAAACTAACTTAGAAGCAACTTTTCAACAAACTACAAAGGACTTGTTTGTTTAAAGTCAATAATTCTCTAATATTGATGAAAAACTATTTGTTCATATTGGCAGAGTATTTCACCTCTATTATGGAGAAAATGTCTTGTTATAAGTGAAATAATCAGCCAATGGATTTGAGTGAGTTCAGTTATTATTTGAGCTTTTGAAATGTTGATAACACTTGTTAACAACTATTAAAAAAACCCAAAAAACCTGCAAAGTTTCAACCAGAAAAGGAGAAACAATTAAAAAAATAAAAGAAGAATCAGAATGAAGGTAACAAAGTTTAGCTCCTTTCTGAAAGAAGCACACGTTTCTTTCAGATTACTGAGTTTTGCTCCTCTCAGCTCATCCTACCTTCTTTGGGATTGAATCCAGGTTCTTCCCTGTGGCAACTGTCATAACCAAATTGTCCGGCGGCTTTCCCAACAGTGACACACTGCCAGAACCAATCGATCGTTAAAACATGTGACACATCAGTTAGTGCGAGTGATTCATCATCAACGCATGGAGTGTGTTGTACCTGAGTAAAGGGCAGCTGAAGCAGGACATCCAGAGGATGTCAGTGGTGTTCATGGGAGGAGGAAGCTGAGCGAGGCAGGCCAAGAACTGCACAAAAACACAACACACACTTCAGATGCTGCGTGGCTCAGACAGGCCTGACATTCCTGTGGTTTACTGTCCCACCTGAAGAATGACCAGACTGAGCTGGCACTGCAGCAGGAAGAGAAAGCACTTGCGGATACCAGACGTTGTGTGTCGTGCCTAGAAAGTAGTTCAGCAAAGGTAAAATCAGTATCAAATGAAGATGTGACTCAGTGACTGCTCGATGTGACAAACCTGCTCTATGAGTTTAATCAAGCTAACGCTGTTTCCCTGGTGGAAGGAGACGGAGCAGCCCAGGCTGTTCAGCTGTCCCGACAGTCTGAGAGGAGAGAGTCCTTCAGCCTCTCCGCTGAAGCCTCCTCCTGTGGCGTAGCCAAAGGTCTCCCAGGAGCACTGAGACGGATACAGAGGGTCCAGCCCAATGCTGTGGAGTCCAGAGAGTGGACAAAATGGCGTCAGCAGATGCGACGGGGACGATTCTGGTGTGCTTGGCTCCAGAAACGTTGTGAAACACGTGGAGAATGAAAGCAACCTCCGTACCTGAGATTGCTTTGCAGAAAGAGGCGGCTGTTGCGGAAGTTGGCGGAGCTTCCCAGACAGCAGGTCACCTCCCTGTTCTCCTGCATGATCTTCATCATCTCACACATGGCTGCAGAGAGGAAGACAAGCCGCAACATTTCACTTTAGTTTGTCCCATGGATAATTTGAAGACTGAGAAGATTTAAGGCTCTGGAAAAACTGAAGATCCATTGAACTGAACCCCATTAAAAACCTCCTGGTTCTTATACCAGACATGGATTTCTGAACTCTCTGAGATAAAATGCAAGTATTGTTGCTTCTAAATGAACATGAACTTGTTTACTTTGCATTACTTGAGTTCTGAAAGCACTGCATCTTTTTTTTGTCATTTTGACCATTTCTCATTTTGTGCTTATAAATACAAATGTTTTGCTTGGAATTTCAGAAACGTGTTCATTTTACTCAAACATCTCCCTATGACAAGTAAAATCAGAGAAACTGAAACTGAATTTTCTCCAGAGCTGTATATATATGCAGAAGAAGACTGGAGCTACTGAAAAAAATAAAAACAAAATATTAAGATTGACTTTTTTTTTTTTTTCAGAATTCTGACATTTGATCTTAGAACATCAAAAGTCAGAATTCTGACTTTTCCGTGGCCCTCTTCCATAAAGCTATTGTCCCTCTGTGATGAAAGGTAAAAACTCTCCTCAGTCTGCAGAAGGATAATTAAATGCGTGTGGACAGTCAGACACTCACTGTCGGGGGTGCAGTCGGTGAAGAGCGGCACTAAAAGAGGCACATTGTCGATGTTCTTGAGATGAGGACGGACCTGGTGGATCCCCCGAGGCAGCTTGGCCTGAAACAGAGCGCAGCATGTCAGCCAGAAAACAGCAGCCTGAGTCAGGACAGCGCTGGACAAATCCAGTTACAAAGGATCTGAAACGTTTCATTAGCACAGAACGCCTGGCAACATCTGCTGAGATGAGCCCTGCTGCATAATGTGACTGAGGTGATGATTACTCTGTTACAATCCTCCAGGAAGCTTGGCACGTCGCTGTCTGTGGGATGGAAGCTGGCCAGGTCGGACTGGGCCTCCTCTTCCTGCAGCAGCGGACCCTCCGCCTCGTCCCGGGAGTCTTCAGGACAAAACGCAGGAAAATGGACACAGTTCAGATGATGACAGATCTGTTATACTGTTGTCATGGCCTTGATGGAACCATTCCAGTTTCTAAGTGGTAACAATAGAGATCATCCATCAGTCTGGCTACTAAGCCTCTGACTACAGAGCAGAGCACCAGCCTGGGTTTGATGGCCTGCAGCAGCACCAGAACTTCTTTTTGGCAAGCTGGCATCTGCCTCACTGAATACAAAAAATATAGATAAAAAAAAATCACGGCGCATGAAGATGGACAGCCCACATACCCTGGTGGAGGTCTTCGTGCAGGGAGCCGTGTCCCGGGCTGGACGGAGCCCCCTCACAGGGGCCGTCTCCGTTTGGAGTCAGAGATATGTGACAGTTCCAGCCTGTCTCTAAACCCATCTTCTCTGCAAACACCTGCACACACACACAAGCACAAACACACTCAATGGCTTCAACTCACTGTATGTGCCAATATGGATATGAATAATTGTCCCAAAAAGACAAAAGTCAACATGAAGGACAAATCATAACATAGAGAACAGATCTACCTGACACGCTGCCACCATGGGAGGAACAATTCTAGAGCTCAATGCTTTCACATTACCTCCAACACCAAGATGTTTGCTCACCTTGCTGCGCAGCTCATCCTCCATGGAAAAATACACAAAGCGGATACAAGCAGTGACCAGAGCGTCGATGAGACGGACCGTGTCCAGCTTGGCCTGGAACTGAGATGACACCATCCCCATGAAGATCTGTCCACTCAGCGCCTGGACACAGTCCTCCCGCTCCGCTCCCTCTCCGATCCCCTCTGACAGAAACACACAGAGTCCATTAGAAGCTCAGCCTGCTGGTCTGAATGTCCCAGCCCCGCCCTGTTCCATGCCCACCATCTGAGCTCCAGCTGTTCCTGCACAAGTTGTGTTTGATGGGCGTGGTGGAGGGCAGCTCAACGCCGGAGAACAGGCAGGGACCAGAGGCCAGCTCCACACACTTCCCGTTCAGCTGGCCGGACAGAGACACCTGCATGGGTTTGTAGGAAAAGGCAGAGCAGTAGCCTGACAGGCAGGCACGCTGGTAGAAGTCCAGAACCTTTTTCCTGTAACATAGAGGGAAAAACAGCAAAAAAAAAAAAAAGAGATTAGATGCTCAGAAAGACAAAAACAAATGTGAATATCAGCCTGAAACCCCAAAAGCAGACCTGTCTGAGCCTGAAAGGGGGTAGATATCAGTTCCATCCCAGAAGTCAGTGCAGGCCTCTAGGATCAGGTCAGCCGAACCATGCGACAGCATCTGGACGCTGTCTGCAACAACACACACACGTTTTCATACCCACAAAGCAGCTGGCACGGGCCGTGCACACACACCATGCAGGACTTACTGGAAGAGGAGTCTCGCACACACAGGGACATGAGGTGGGAGATGGGGGGCTGGCGCTTGGTGAAGGATGGGAGGCGGCGGGAGGTGAACTCCTTGGTCTTCTCTCTGGATGGCAGCTGGTAGAGGGTCAGGTGGTTCTCCTGTTTGAACAGCTCTCTGGCTCCAGGAGTGAAGCCTAAGACACGAGCAACGAAACGGACATGATGGGAAATGATTTACACACACACAGTCTGCATGTTATACACATCCATGAAGAAGTTATGTTCTAAAATATAAAAAAACATACTTAGTTGAAGCTGTTGGCTCATCGTCACAGAGAAGTTTGTTTAAAAAAAAAAGAAACAGTCTGTGTGTTTCTCTAACATATTTAGATATATGGATACTAATAATCAGTTTTGACATTACCAAACAATTGGTGTTATATTACCAAACAAGCAAAACTAAAGAACAGAAGTTTTTAAACATTACTTTAAGAAAATGTGTTTTCTGCTGTGAATAAATCAAGACCCTAAAAGCTAGAATCACTTTATGTGATTCTAGCTTTTATAAGTCAACATGATTAAATCGTCAATACTCTGGGATGTAGCAGAAATCAGAGTTCAGAAGGTAGCTTGGGTTTAAAGCTATCGTACGTTTCATTCAGAAAAAGAAAAAAATATGTATTTTTAACTTTACTCTTAATAAATGAGTTACAACATTTCATTTCCTTTAGGGATTAGTAAAGTATTTTTGAATTTGAATTCAACATTGAGCAAAGAATGTTAGTATGTTCTGTTCTTAAAAACGATGCATTACCAGAGAACAGGAAGGACATGTGGCCGTGCAGCGCTGCATGTTTTACCTATCAGCCTGGAGAGCTCACAGAGGCCCCAGGGAACGTAGACGGGCAGCACGGAGCCGTGGCTCTCCTGCAGGGCCAGGTTGGACAGATGGTCTGAGAAGCGGCACAGCTGCTGGGTGACCCCAGCGTTGCACAGGTTCAGCATGATGTTGAGGCCCAGTGGCTTCAGAGAGGGCAGGTGACACTGCCAGGAGAGATCGTCAAACTGGATACTGGTCGGGTTCTGCTGGTCTTGTGATAAGCTCAGCATCTCCAGGTGGTAGTCACACACAAAGTCCTCTGCCTCGGCTTCTGGGCAGCCCAGAGCAAAATCCTGGACGACAAAAACCAAGATACAGAAGAGAGACATGAATCCTCATGTAAGCCTGAATCTTACATTTCTCATAGCTCTAGAAGATTTATATTTTTTTCTATGCTGTTTGGCCCATTGGGCTTTTGTCTCTTCCTGCAGTTACTATCATTTTTCTAAATATCTTTGATCTGTATTGTATTTGTGCAAACTAATTATGGAATATGAATGCATCAACATTATTAACTGGATTCATTTTCTTGCATCTGCATGCATTAATTTCTTAGACGTCTTATATTAAAATCTTACATTTTGCTGCACATTATTGAATGCTGCAGTTTGTTTTCCAGTTGTATTTTTTTTTACTGCCAGCTCCCCGGCCTGTACCTGCTCCTCCTCGCCTCCCTCGGTGTCGTGGCTGAAGCTGACGTTGGATCCAGAGTGATGTTTGGTCCGGGAATGTGTTGTGGGCTGAACAGGTCGTCGGAGTCTGACCGTCTCAGACGGGCGAGCGTCGTCATGTGACGTCTCACTGGGCTCGGGTGCGTCCCCCAGGTGGACGGCGGGCTCCTCCGGGGGACAGAGCAGAGTCTCTGCTTCCTGAGCCTGCAGCAGAAAGATGATATTGAGAAAGGGAGAGCTACAGTAACTCACAGTCTGTCAGGGAGACACACCTCATCCCGGTCATCTTCATTCTCCATCCGGCAGTAGGAGTTTTCCGACAGGTCGTCTCGGAGGTCGTCCTGGCTGTTGTGAGGCGGTTCCACTCTCCCACTGAAGAACAGAACCGTCTCTGGACTCGGGTTTGGCCATGACAGGATGCCCTGCTTGTCCACGCAGCACAGCACCTACATACAGAGGGTGAAACACAGGAGGAACCAAAGGGATGAAAACATGAAACCATTGCAACAAATGTACTGCACACTGCCTCCTTCCTGCATTCAGCAGAGTTCTGACATTTGATCTGACTTTCCTGTTATGCAAGATAGGATGAATTGTTTCAGGATTACACTGCTATTTAAAAGCTAAACAGTATCTCAAAGCATGACACATCCACCTCCATGCTTCATAGTTGGTATGAGGTTCTCATCCTGGATTCTGTGTTTAGTTTATGTCAAACATGTCCTCTGTTCTGAGTCCACATGATTACATTTAGACTCACAACATGAGAAGTTCTGGTCTTTGTCTGCATTCTCTCTGGTGACCTTCATGTTTGTCTCAGACAATAAAAGTTTCCTCTTTGCACAAAACCCAGGAAGATGAAACTTGTTCAGTCTCTTCTGATTGAACAAGCATGAACTTTCAACTGATGCTGTCTGCATATGCAGACAGTAACATTTAATCTTCATCTCATATCCATTAGTATGAATTTGGCATTTACCACAACAGACAATAAATGATGAGGAAACAAAACATATATGTAAATTATACCAAACTATAAGTCACAAGATCAGCAAAACTATGTAAAAATTTGCAACTTGCAGTCGTCACTTAAAAACAAGCCCCAGCGTTTAAAATCACTGAATGTTCAAATTTTATTGAAATTTGTTTTGATATTTTTTTCTATCTGGTGTAATTTTTTGTACAAATGTTTAAGTGATTACATCATAAAACATGGGATATCGAGAAGTGAAGAAAGAAATCAAAACAAGAGAAGGCCTTCAAAGAGTCTTACTCACAGTGACGGAGCCCAGAGTGTGCAGCAAGCTGGAAGTGTAGCACAGAGTCTCAGATTCTCCCTTCAACACGCCAACCATGTGTCTCCAGACACAGCGCAGCAAATCCTGCATCCGTGACAAAAACCAGCAGGTTAGAATGAAACACCACCAAAACCCAAGAACCTCCTAATAAATAAAAGAGCAGGAGTTTGTTACTGACGAGAATACTTCCTAACTCTAAATCACAGAGATGTTCTTCATCAGTTCTGAGATGAGAGTAAAGTCTGTAGAGTACAAGTCAGGGAGGTGAAGCGGTCAAAACAGGCATGCAGAGATTCAGGCTCTGATTGGATGGAATCGATGAAAACTTTTCCACAGGAAGAAAAAGAAACAATCACAAAGAAGCCATTCAGTAGATGGACGCTTTAGCTAGCCAGTGCTAACACAACATGCCAGTCAACTGGACAGTTTGTGTTGAGTATAATAAAAAAAAAAAAACACACTGTGCATCCCTATTTGCAGATACAGCTCTCAGTGATCTGAAGTCATGTTTGGTTTTCTGAGGGATCTGCTTGTATTCTGAGCGGCTGCAGAAAAATCCTCCTGACCCAAATGTTTGGAGCACCAAAAGGTTTCCAGGTAACTGACTTTATTTCACTGCATTTCTGCTCCTGTTAGTGATGAGGCATGATGACTGGACTAGAAACACTTTACTATTCTGCCCTAGACCGTTAGGAAAGGCTTTGAGCTTCTCTAACTGCTAGGTCAATGTTTATCAAGTGATTTTGTTTAAAGGCATATTAGTATATGTAAAACAACTCTCTTTAAAACCCTCCAGTGGCCTTAGTGTGATAGGTGTCGGACAGCAGGGAAATGGGGGAATGTCCCATCAGACCGTCAGTTCCTGAAACCACACACTCAAAAAAAAAAAAGAGAAAAAAATATTGGTAAAAGTACATTCAGGGTCAGTGTGACCCCAAAGGGTAAAAGGCTCATGGGTCTAAATGACCCCATTTCTTAAAATCGTGGGAGGGTTAAAGAAGGTAAAACTCAGCACCACCTTTCTCCTCTGCTAAGAATAGTTCAGTAGATGTTAGTTGTTGAAGGATTATGACCGTTGAGACTTGTCTGAAAAAGTTTTTCCCCCACAAAGTATAAACACAGTCCTGTATCAGCTGAGAAGATTTTTGCAGATTTTTGAGTCAACCTTTAATTTAATTTAGTCATCCTCCGCTTCTTTAATCTTTCAGCACAGGGGTGTTAAACTCCAGTCCTCAAGAGTCAGTGTCCTGCAACTTATAGCTGCGCCTCTGCTGCACCACATCTGAATGGAATGATCAAGGCATTGGAGAACTGAACCACACAAGGAAGAGATCATGAAGCCATTTCATTCCAGTGTTTGGTACCAGTGGCACATCAAAACACTGCAGGACAGCGGCCCTTGAGGACTGGAGTTTGACACCTGTGTTTTATGGATTTGCTTACAGTTCTGTTCTGAAGTCTGATTGAGAAAAACAAAAGGCCAGTCTGAGGACGTCCTTCCAGACCAAACTAAGTCCTGCATCCAGGACTGTGGAAACTGTAGCTGCTGAGTTCCAAACTCTGTTCCCAAACAGGTGCACCACAGTCTAAGACTGGGCCACACACTGCTGCCATAAAATGAGCAGAGGTTTAGACCAGAGGCACGTTAAACTTTATGATCGAGTTTGTTGTCACAAAATATAACTCAGAACCTTCTTATGACCCAATAGGGGAGAATCTGAGGTCATCATGTCTCAACGGCATAATGTAGCATATTTAGAAAAGGGGAAACAGTAACATATGCATTTGAAAGAACAGATCTAGAAATGAACAACATGTTTAAAATAAGTAAATGTATTGTAAACATAAGATACAATGAAAATTTCTTTGTAATATTTGTTCCTGTCAGAACAAAGCAAAGGACGGAGGGTCAAAAGGGACAAAATTAAATAAATAAATCATTAAATAAATGTACCATGGTGACCCTGCAGGAACCGGAGCCATGAATAAATACACACTAAACTATCTGCATTAGCCATTGTATGTTTGAATCATTTTAATAACTTAAAAACATACTGAATAAATTATCTAATAAATCAATTATTTCAACATTTTTAATGTTACATTTATTTAATAACTGAATGATGTATTTTTTTTTTATTTTATCGCTTTTTACAGTCTATGTAAAAGTACTAGTGAAACTCATTTAGATATTTTTCTTGTCATTAGGATAGAATGGCAAGAAACTTTTTTCTTTGCTTTTGGTTTTGTTTTTCATAATTTTCCACAAATACCCACATCCCATAGTAGAAAATAAATCCATCCTCTGACAAATTTTATGTTCTTTATTATAAAACCTAAAAATAGAAATAAAATTATGGCTTCTTAAAAATGAAAGATTTCCTACAGATTTTTCATTTAAAACTTGCATGGAGCTGACTCCTCCATGCAAGTTTGGTGCATTCAATAAAAACATATTAACAACATAATAAAATATGTCAGGACTGCAGTGCAGATCACCACCACAGAGTCTTGATTACCAGTCAAGTTCATCAACAAGTAAACAAGTGTCTCAGATTAATATCTCTACCATAATTCACATGTTCTATGGATTCATGTAGATGGATGAGCAGTGAGATTTGACTAGAGAATGATGACAGCCAAAGCATTCTGAGCAGAATCTGAGAGAAATGGTGGAAACAGAAGCATGCATGGAGTGAGGGAGAAGCGCCTGTCAAACATGGACATCCAGAGGTGCTTGGTGAAGATTCACAGATTATTGATCCACACATAATGTGACCCAAACGGTCACGGTTAGGAAAACTGTGGGAAATGACTTTGCAAAAATGTATGAAACAAAAAGGAACCCACAGGATTTTGAGCGAAAACAGCAGTGTGATATAGAAAGTGGCCCGAAACATAAATACTGTTAAAATATTTTTATAGTAATACAATTAAAACATAGAAGCTAGCGGTAATAATTCAAAGCAGCTGTGGGTCCACAAGGGGGCGCTGCAGGACTGTGAGCAAATAAAGACAAGCAGGTTGAGGTGCAGCTGGGAGTTAAGCAGGTGTGAGGTGAGCAAGCAAGACAGAGAAGGGTTATACCTGCGAGGAAACTGCTTCGGTGTAGCTGCTTAGAGTGTCCTCAGAGAACTTAGCAAGCTAGGGCAAAAGAAGAAGCTAGTTAAAATCCAGAGGGAGGCTGGCAGCACACCTCCTCTGTGTGTGTGTGTGTGTGTGTGTGTGTGTGTGTGTGTGTGTGTGTGTGTGTGTGTGTGTGTGTGTGTGTGTGTGTGTGTGTGTGTGTGTGTGTGTGTGTGTGTGTGTGTGTGCGTGTGTGTGTGCTTGAGGGATGAATCCCTCCACACTGGGCTCATCACAGAACTTAAAATTTCAAAAGTATTGAAGGAGAAAAAACAGCTGACACTAACCACCTATGTTTACCAGTCTATAAAAGGGAAGTGGAAGTTCCTGCAGGACCAGAGGAGATCAGACAGGTGACCTCTGGTGCCTTAAAACGAAAGTTATGTATGTAACTACGGTTCTATGAATCCTGGATGACCGCCAGAGGGCGGTGCTGAAAGCACTGAATGTTCCCTTCGAGCAATAATATCAGCAGAGTCACACCTGTGACATCAAATGATCAATCAGAGGCTATATAGCATGACGGCATCCGATACTCTGTTCCTACAGAATCTTCTTGCGAAATGCAAGGATTCTGAGTGGCAGAGTCTCTCTGGCTGTCATCCGGGATTCATAGAACTGCAGTTACATACATAACATTTGTTCCATTGGAAAGCTTAATTGCTTCATAAGGCTTCATCTGCCTATTACTAGGCGATACACCACTACTGCAGCCAACAGGCAGTCGGGCGTCCAACAACGGTGAAAAGATCCAGAAATCCAAAAGGCCGACGCCATACAAAGCAAACTGCACACAAGAAGAAAAGAGCAACAGAGCCTCGGACCATGTTATGCTATATATCCTCTGATTGATCATCCAATATGTCACAGGTGTGACTGTTGATATTATTGCTTGAACAGCACATGATAAAAGGGAACATTCAGTGCTTTCAGCACCACCAGAGTCAGTAGGAATGAAATAGAACCAAGAATTATCACCCACAAGTTTACTGTAAGCAACACTTTAGGTTTAAGGTGTGAAATATACATTTCTACAAAATAATGTAAGGTTTATTGTTTTCATGCAGTAGAGAAAAAAAAAAGGCCATAAAAATAGTTTGAGTCAAAATGATCAAATCGGATAAAACAACACTGACTGTCATCCTAAAGACAGCGGTTGTTAAGGGCCATTTGGAAGACACGATTGTCCCCAAGCTTTTCCATCCTGGCTCATGTCATGAGATGCTGCTTCAATATTTCTACATAATGTTTTCTTACGATGCTACTTATATTGTGAAGGGGACCACGATGAGCCTTGCAAGTCTCCCCAGTGTCCATGTGTCCAGACATTCAGCTCTTTGTCTCCGAGTCCATTTATAGACTGGAATCAAATCTCATTGTCCTCTTGCTTTTGGAGGAATAGCTTCTTCTTCCTCTCTAAGTGGGCTTACCCTCTTCACAAGGTCTTTTATTCTGGGGTCAATTCACATTTTCCATGCGACCCCTCAGAGCCGGTCTCCTTCCTGAACAGATGACCGCTGCACACTCCTATGATGGCTTTACGTAACTTGCATATAACTATTTTAACAAATGATGTAATGATGTTCATGGGCAAAGAGAGATGCTGTTAGAATTACAGCTCTAATAAGCAGAGGGTTACCTTAGTCTGATAAATATTACAAAAAGAGATATGAAAGCTGTAGTGGTTCTGCAGAACAGACACACAGAAATACAAAAATTATTTACCATGTAGCCTAAAACAGATATTCAAGTCTTCATGACTTGAAATCTAACATGTAACATATAATCAAAACAACTAAGAAACAAAATGTACCAAACACTAGAATATATTTTCATTCCTCCAGTTCCTCTGGACTGGTGGATTGTGTCCCATATTTCTAAATGGAGGGGCAGCGATTGTGGTTTCTTGGCCGATCATTGATCTTTAAGGAGCTCAAACTTGCCAATTCTGATTTTGCCCAATAGTGATTTGTTTTTAATAATTGAAACCATCAGGTGCCAACTTTATGCCCCTTCAATGATCCATTTTCATGAAAAACATTGAACAATACCTGTGAAACAATAAAAAAATGCTTTAAATGCACATGGGAAAGTACTCTCCCACAGCAATGAAAAGCAGGGATTGCTGCTAAACTACCAAATTAACAAAAGTAAAAGTAGTCTTTCATTTTTCACATTTTAAAAACAAACCTTGAACAACAAGTCAGATTACACAAATGTTTGGAGCTCTTTCCAAAAATAAAGGTTTGTGCTTTTGTCAGAAAGCGATGCTTATTTTTATTTTAAAAACATTTTTTTTTATACGCCAGTAATCCTGAACTGCATGCGTCTTTGCCGCCCCCAGTCTGCTGCGTGTTCAGCGGTGGGGCAGGTTAATTCCTGAAAGAGGTTTGTAGTTGATGCATTGAACAGGGCAGGAAGCTGGGTGTGGACCAATCACACTATCGGTGCCTTACCAAGCCAGCTGGAGATGCGCGACTGAACTCGGACAGGACTCTGGCCTCTCCAAAGGCATTCACCAGGACCCACATGACAGGGAAGAGCAGGGGCAGGATGGGTAGCACAGCCATGAGCTACAACACAACAACACACTGACATCTCAGTCCACTCATCCTGTCATTAATCTGAACTGTTCACAGCAAATGATGAACATTCCTGGGTAGTCCTCAAGAACCGAGGGAGTTTGCTTGGTCCATTCTTAACGCCCCACATTTAGCAGATAAAAACAGATCACCACGGTAGAAATGTGGTCCTGAAATAGGCACTGGTCAGGATATTTTTTTAATTTAGCTGGAACTATTGGATGGATGTTAGTGTAAAGAGAGTTGGTTGAATTTGTTCAACAATATAATTTAAAATAGTCCACTGCCAGTATTTGCAGTCAACTTTTACTGTAACAGATTCTAAGTCATTGATGTCTGTCAACAGCCAAATGTGGAGAAACAGGGAAGTAAACAAACCTCTTTGTATATAATTTATAGATTATACAAACGATGAGTTGCAGCTACAGCGGTTTAACCTAGTTTAGGACTTGTCTCTTTGGTTTTATTGCTGCTAATATCACTGATCGTTACAAACAGTGATCGCTCTGATTTCTTCCCCTCATGCAGGTTAAAGCTCTACATGGAGATCTGCCATCTGTAAAATCTCTGTTAAACTTTTTCTAGTTCAAAGACAGAGCAGCCTTGACAGAATCAATGGGTCACACAGTATTAGGAGGCCATACATGAGGCTTGGTAGGGCTGGGCAGCACTTGGTGCTAAACATCATCTCACCTGGAGCTGAAGGAAGTTGTAGCAGGGAGGAGTGATGCTGGGGGCCTGCCAGAAAAAGCGAATTGTGTTCACCACCAGGAACGCCACCTGCAGGAAGGACCAGGTAAATGTTTTCTTCTGCTCTTCCAGGTCCACTGAATGTGTATAAGATTTCTGTTAACAGCTCACCAGCACAACAGGACAGACGAGCTTCGTGATGATGGACTGAACAGTAAACCTCTCATTATCCAGCACTGTGATTGGCCGGGATAGGGCCAGCTCCAAAGCGTTCCTGTTGATTTCAATTAAACTTACATTTTTGTAAAAAATGATCAGTGTCTGGAATTGTTATCGTGGCAGAGCAACTGACCCCAGAACAACAAAGGTGATTCAACCACCTAACCAAATATGATCCAGCTCCCTACCTGACCGGCTCCAGCACTGGAGTCCGAACCACTCTGAAGAGGCGGTGTTGCTGGGGGCTCTGGGGGCCTCTCTTCTCAGTCCGAGGCGAAGGGGGAGGCGATAACGGTGGGAATAAATCTCCTGGTTCCAACACTATGTGCTCATCATCCTGAGAAAGAAACAAAGACAGAGCTCAAAACCATTCCCAGTTCCCACTTCTAACCTCAATCCCACACCTGCTTTAATAAGCACACCTCTTCCATTAGCCAATAGGGTGGCAATATTTCTAGGAAGTAATTCCTCTAGATGTAGTAAAGACAATTATCAGAGCATCAGAACAGGGAGGGGAGAGATTTGGCTCTCCAGTTGACATCCAGTTTGTGGATCTAAAGGGTTGTCCAAATCATCAAGACTCATCAAGACATTTTGCAGTTTGGGTTGCAGGGGATGTCTATAAGAGCCATCTTGTCTTTGTATTACAAAGCATAAGCTGCGTCCACTTTCTAGGCGTCAGTTTGAGTTAAACGCTGTGCAGGTTGGCCTCTGTCAGGACTGCTATACGTCACTCATCTTGTTTGTGGTGTTGATGCATCAGTGGGAAGAGGGAGGTTTGGGATCTCAGGATTTTATTTGTTTTTCTAGATTTTAAGGTTCTGTCAGCAACTTCAGGTGCATTGGAACGGTTTGCAGCAGAGTGCGAAGTGGTCTGCATGAGGTCATATGGTTCCAGACCAGTAAAGGGTGGAGTGCTCCATCCATGTCTGAGATGATGGAGTGGCACTCGTTCAGTTGTAGAAAAAGCTGAGCTGAAAAGCAAAGCTCCTGATTAACTGGTACATCTATCTATCAACTATGGTGACGAGGGACAGATTATTACTGAAAGAACAAGACCGTAGATACAAGCATCTGATTCCTCTGCAAAGAGGCTGTGCTCACAGTTGGAAGCAAGATTGAGGAACAACATAATCTCGAAGGCTTGAAGTCGAGTCACTGCTACTCAGTTGAGAACAACAGAGCATCTCATCACTCTGCCTTCTGGGCCTCTTTCCCCTTGGGAAGATCCTGAACTTCCTTCAGACGCTATATAATCCCTCTGGTCCCCCACCCACACCCCTGGGACCTGTTGCCCCTGTGATCCGATTTCAGAAAAACAGAAAACAGAGGATGGATGGAAGGAGATTTCTAATTACTTTATTTCAAGGTTTCATTGAATGTCTGCAAAGATCTTGTACATTTGATATTTGCAAATCAAATATTATGGCTTGCAAGTCACTACAGGCTGACCTTGACCCCCCTGAGAGATGCAAACGCCTGCTGGCCAGGTCGGAGAGCAATGATGTCTCCTTCCACCAGCAGACTGATGGGGAGGTTAACCAGCTGGGAGTCCCGGTAGGTCCAGTGAAGTGACCATGATGGAGACGAGGGCGTGTAGAGGTCAGGGTAAAGAGAAGAAGGCCACTGAATTTCAGCCACACACCCTGACAGGTAATCTGTATTAAAGAAACACCAAAATAGAGGGCTAATATCAGAACAGGCCAGAGAAATAATAACAATACACAAGTTACTCTGTAATGATCACAATAAAACAATCACACATGTTTAACCTTTGACCCTCATGAGAAAACCTAGGCATTTTCTTGTCATTTCCCAACTCACCATTGAGCTGTGTGATGATGCGTTTGAGGCGCCGCACCATCTCTGTTTTGTTGAGCCTCTCCTGGCGTCCAACCAGAAGCAGGTTAAACACGAAGAGAATGAGCAGGGCTGCAGAATTCACCATCTCTATACCAGAGCTGGGAGCAAAAGACACTTTTCATTTATATAATCCCAATTCATAACGGATGTTACCTCAAGACTCTTTGCAAAAGAACAGTAAGCTATTTATGTTCACAAATCTAGTCAGTGTAATTCAATCATAGAAACAGATTCAAAGTTCATTATAACTCTTAAACAATGCATACAAGTTCAGTTTATTGTTATAATTGCTTAAGGACTTACATCTAAGTAACAGATTAGATTAAGACAGTGACTTGCAGAATTCACTATTCCTGGATGAGAAAGTAGCAACAACCAAACTCCTATGCATAAGAACGGAGCTTCAATTTGTGACAGGCTAGATATTAAATTGTTTTTCTAAGGTAAAGTGGAAGTTAAAAAAGGAACAGGTTCTTTAGCAGTATTGTCTGATAAAGATCTACTTTAGTGAAATTATATATGTGGGCACCAGGTCTACAGTATGACAACAAGAGTGAACAGATCTGTGAATGTTTTGAGTAAAGCCACTTGAGTTTAATGTAGTGTTGACTTAAGATGATCAAAGTATCTTTTACTTTATGTGTTATAAAACCATTTTACATTCCTAGTCCATGACAGGATAGTTGAGCTAAACAGAGTTCGGCTACCTGCCCTTCGGCTGGCTGCCATGGCAGCAGAGGAGTCCCACCACCACCAGAAGAGTCAGAGCCCCGCCTGGCCAGTGGAGACAGGACTGCCGGTTGCCATGGTATATGAAGCTATTTTGCCATTGTTCCTATTAAAAGAATTTGAAACGAAAAGAAATCAAACACAAAATTCTGTTTGTGACACAGAGTACAACCCACAACTAAAACAGTACAAACATCCCAACAAGCTTAAAAAATAACAACTAAAACTTTAACCAGTTTGCACTTAATGGATGGAAAAACTGTTGTTTCTAGAAAAGTTGGAAAAGATCAAAACTAATATACGTATCTGCCAGCATGTGTTTTGTTTTAGCAGTTGGATAAAAAAAAATGCTCAGACTGATGTTTTTTCTTTATTGGGTTTGAAAACCTTTTTTGTCCATGAGTGTGATCATACCAGCCAAGAAACCCGTCTCCGTGTGGCTCTCTGGTGCTGCTCCAGCAGGCTGCTCAGCTGGTCCCGGAGCTTCACCAGAGCCTGGCTGGTGGAAAGGCCACGAGTCACACCATCTGCCTCCTGCCAACACAACAGGAGCAGGAGCTCACATACACCATAACAAGAACAAATACAACGTATTTCTCAGCATGATTTTTAAAGGTTGTTTCCATGCAACAGTTTTGTTTTTTTTTGATACAGCTTATTCCTGCTTCATTGGCATTTTAAGTTTACCAGGATAAATAATGCTCTGCCTGCCCTGCTGTTCTATTGATCATCCTGGCAATCAGATAAACAAATTGACACATTCTGCAGAGTTTTCTTTTGACAACTGAAGTCATTTTTATGCAATAAACAAAAAATCTAATTCCTTCTTTAACTAAGATGATAAACATTTTATTGCCTGACATGTAGTAGTGAACACTTGATCATTTGGCAGAAGATGAATCTGCAGCTAAAAACAAATATTATGACACCAACATGCGAAAAGTTCAGCCTTTCTGCTTGACTTAACATCCACAGTGTTGGCCAGATCTGGTGATTATTCTTTGGATTAACAGATAAATAACTTTTGCTTAAGATGAGATTTATTGATGTGTTTACTGACTCTGAACCAGGTGAAGCTAAAACTGGAAGCTAAAACTCTGGATGTTTTCAATAGATAAAGAAAGTGTTTTATTTCCAAATGCAAAATGCATATCTTTGGACAGTTTAGACTTAATTACTGCTCAGAGTGTGTTCGTTCAACAAAATGGTATTCTTTTTGAGTCCTTATAAGCAATTAACCAATTACTAAACTAGTTGACAACTGTCTTAAAAAGCTATTGATCACTCTTAAGATAATTTATCATTTCAGCCTTGATATTTACGATCAAAAACAGCACCATCTTACAGAGCTTTCTGTTTCTGTCCATGGAAAATCTAAGATGTTGAGATGTAAGCAGTTACTGGCCAAGCAGCCAGTAACTGAAACGTTTAGTCAATAGATGAAGCCCTGATCTGATCCTGGCTGAGTCATAATTTACCTGCATGTGTGTTCATGATGTAGGTCTGTGGAAAATGAAGCAATTTCACAAAGATACGGATAACTGGGCATGTTGTTTCTGTTCCAGCTACAGACTAAAACCAGAACAGTAAGATACAGTATGAGGATAAAATTAGAGCCTGAAAACACATAAAGTCAAAATAATCACAATATCACAATTAGCAATAACATCAAATAAATGTAAGGTAGTGCTTGGATTTAGTATATGTCAGTACATTTAGTTCAGCATCATATATTGAGTGTTAACATGTCTACAGACTTTAATACACACTGCGCTTCTATTTTTAGTTCCTGAAATACAAAAGCTGACAGAAAATAGACACTTTAGTGATGCAGCAAAAGAAAAGACTGGGAAATTAGTTTCATCAATATCCTCATGTGTTGCTAAAAATCACTCCACACACTCATGTAATTATTAAATTTGTATTAAAAATAACATTTGTTTATTTCTTTAATTCAAATAAACAGTGCCATTATGTGCATTATTTTCTTAAAGTTACTTGGTTTTGGGAGTTGGATAAGACAATGGACTAGAAAAACACATTCAGAATTATAAGTAGTTTTCCATTTTCCCACCCAGACCTGAAACATTACAGACTTTTCCAGATTGCATAGAAACCCTGGTTAGTCACGACAGGGAGAAACTACATTTCCCATCTGTCAACACACTGACACACACACACCCCCACACACATTACCAAATATGACAATTTCCTTGAACATGAGTTCAGATTTAAAGACCCCAACATCCTATGCAGCCAAGACAGAAATAACTTTCCCAGAGAAACTAAGAATCAACAAAAATCTTCCATGGCTATATGAAGCAGACCAGGGGACCAACAGAGGCAAAGCAACTCCTGACCCCGGCGACAAGCTAGCAAATCATTTCTCTTTAACCAGACAGTGGAGGAAATATAAGAGAAATGTACAGTTATACTGCTGAGCATTTTCTGTTCCTGCCTTCAACACTTATTATCCAAATCATTCAAATCTTTAACTCATGCTATGTGACAATAGTAAACACCAACAACAGTGATTAATAAGCAGTCCTCCCTGCTCTGAGGCTGGGAGAGCAGTGGAAGCTACAAAACCTCCACCTGAAATATTTTTGCCAGTCTATCAACAGAAAATACTGCTAATAGAACAAGGTTTCTCAAAGTGGAGGCTGCAGCCCCTAAAAGCATTCTCTGGTCAGGTCCGCACAGCATTCTGGGGGATGGAGGCAGAGGATAGGCTTTAGCCGCTCAACCTCTCATGGCCAGGTAAGAAAGTTTACTGACGTCAACTCACTCTTTGGTTACCTAGCAACAACCTCTTAAATAACATGCACAGTAGTAGTTCATGCACAACAACTCAAGAGGAAACTGTGGTTAAAACAGAAAAGACCACATTAGTGTCGAAAAAAAACAATCAATGATTACGACTGATATGAAATCCTTAGATTGTGATGCTACTCCAGAAACAAAATCTGTTTCAAATCCAGAGCACCAACCAGTTTAACACTAACACCATCACTAAGCGTCAAGGCTGCAATGTAAGAAAATCTTCAGATAGCGGTAATATCGATAAATATGATGACATCAGGTACGATATATGATCTGTTTTCTTCTTTACTGTTTTTATGATCTGAGCTTCCTGCTTTGTGAGCTCTGGCTGCCGTTAGCCTCTGTCCTACTGCCTAAATATTATGTTATACAACTTCTGAACTTGTAAAATACATTAGCCAACAATTACTGCACTCCAAGCAGTCCAGTGTTATATGAATATTATACACACCGACACTGAGATGACGATGTATTCACAATTTATTGTGCTGCTCTACAAAACATAAATGTCACTGATTTGTCTATGAGGTTTTAAATAGTTATTAATTTATTTTAATTGCCACCCATTTAATAAAGTATTATAAGATCAAATCAAAACAGACAAGAACAAGTTCTCACTAGTATTGTAACGGTGCATGTATTCTTGTTTCAGAGTTCTACGCTCTAGAAAGCATGCACCTTTACAGGAAACAACCTGAGCGACATTCAGCAACAAAACTCACCTGCTTCTTGTCCTGCGTCGCCATGGCAACCCCGACCACTCCACATGCTCTTCTTCTCAAGCTGTCATAGACACTTGGCAAGAGGCCTTCAGTGCCACCGCAGCGCGTCCAGATGTGGGGAGCCCACAGCGGGGCCGTTTCTTCCCGACGCCTTCAGGTCACTCATACGCAGAGACGAGGAAAAGCAGGCGGAGCCAGGGTGGTGCTGCTGGGAGTTCCCACCTGGAAACCGTCCACTGCCAGAGTGACAGCAAAGCGCAGCAACACCTGCAGAGATCAGCAGGTTGCCACCACCAGGAGATGGGCTCTGGTTTTTGACACCGACGGTTGAAGTGAGAATGAACACCAGGAGTCTGGTAAGAAAACATTTTTATAAGCACTCAAAACAGCACAACCAACCAAACAGCTGACCTGAGATTATGCATTAAAGCACAAACACGTCTTTTATTTCTAGCAATCTGATTCTAATCAGTTCAGAAACAATTTTTAATTCAGAAACAAATTTTTCAAGTCAGTTTAAATTATGGGACTAACAAGAGGAACAGTGAGTAAAAAAACAAAACATTTGTATAAATCAATTCTACAAGGTTCCATACTGTATCAAATTCCATCAGTTAAAACAAAAACGGGTTTGTGCCTAAAACTCTGGAACTTAAATGACCAGTATTAGGTTAGCTTAGCTACCTGGCCTTTTTCTTAAAAAAAATCAATAAAAAATCAAAAAACTATATCAAAAGCCATTTGGTGGTCAAGTGGACATGTAATGCAATATGCAGTAAACTCATAAATAGGCAAAGACGTACAAATTAAACACATTTTCAAATCTTTGAGCGTTTTTAATTGATTCCTAATTCCTAGGACTAGGAGTTGTATTTTGTTTCTTTTTTTTAACCCAAAACATGCCAATAATTTCACTGAGAACTGGTTGACAATTAATAAATTAAAACATTCTGGGGCTAGTCAAAGCCCAGAATTTGATCTTATTGAAATGTTGAGCGTTGACTTGAAACAGACTCAGCATGCAAGAACTTCTCATGCATCTGGTTGTTTCTAATAAAGCTGGTAACGCCAGATGTCAGGGGCCAAACTCAGTTCTAAATCGTTTTTGTATTTCCCTATAATTCTATTTTGGTAGAACTAAATATTTAAATGAGGAGTCCTGTCGTTCTCACTGTTATATATGAATCTTTCTTTTTAGTGAAAGTGCAATCATTTAAACCAGCCTGTGTGAGCATTACAGCTGAAGAGAAAATGAGATGTAGGTGCAGAAGCCACAGCTACCTGATCCACTGACATAAGCAGCTCTGTGTGGAACAAAAAGCCAGCTCCACTGAGTCAGCAGCATGTTCTGACAAACAGCTGATGATGCTCAGTCACAGAGGAGGAGAGGCTGTAAAGCTGAGAGACAGATCCATATGAAAATCAAACAGGCAGTCCAAATGAGAAGAATTATTTATGACTAAAACTGTACACTTCAAAGATGGCCCTCTGTCTGGTTCTCTCTGAAAGTCAGTTTGGTTAAATCAGTGGTTCCCAACCTTCTGACAGAAAGAATGGAAGGTGTGTCATAGTGCTTGTCAGTGTGATAGTTCCTGGAAGACTAATTTACCAAAAAGTCTGTTCACCATCATAAACTCCTGAAGAACAAGAACCAGCTGTCCTTTTATGACTTCAAACTCAATCTCACTTGGTTTAAGCAGCAGACAATGATCTGAATTGCACCAGAATTTTCTAAAAGAAATAAGATGAAGGCTTTCTAGTGGCCTAGCCAAAGTGTAGGCTTAAATGTAATTGGGATGTAGCGATATGAAACAACAGTCCACTGTCACTGGACGCTGCACTGGACGAGGAACATGCAGCAGAAACTTCTGTGTTCCTGTCCATTGGACTCTTGTAGAATTCTGACAGTGCATCTCAAATACTGAATCATTTCTCCAAATCACCTTTCTCCTTGCTTCAATAACCAAAACAACAGGGAAAAAACCCAATAACACCAGGACCAAGTGAAGTACTAACCATGAAGTCAGTCAGTAAATGTTTATCAGCAGCTTCTGTATACTATGTAATATATCAACTTATGATAGCTGATATGTTAAAAAGTTAAGTTGAAACTGAGAAAGCATAACTTTTGCCTCAGTGTGTTAGTCTATGGCTTGTCCAACCACAGAATATAATAAACTAACGTGTGAGGCAGAACATTTAAAGAGCATAGAGAGGACAATTTCATAATTTGCTGTGTGGATTTTATCCTGTATGCATTTCCGATCAACAATTTCAAGCTATTATGTTTGTACGTTTCTTACCCAGTTCTTTCACACTGATAAAAGAACGATTCTCTAAAAGTTCAAATCAATGACATTAATGCCCACGATCAATGTGGTCAAATGTCTGACAAAAATCATTTCCATTGAACTAATAACTGGTGGATAAGGATTATTCTGTGTCCAAGAACATTACGAGTAAAAATGTAACGACGCAACAGTTTAAATGTCTGCTCAATCAGCAATCATTTGTATGTTTAAAATGTAGCCTTCAGTTTACTACGTTGGACTAAATGAACGGTACTCTGAAATTGCCGACTGAAGGCGATCTAAAGCCGCTTTGACAACAACTAGCGAGAAACCAGAGCCGAAGCTTTGCTTTTTGGACATGTTCTCTATAACACACTGATTCAAATGAATAACACGACTGAAGAGATATATTTTCCTTCTAGTCAACAGATGCTGCAGACAGGCGTCGACCTATCAGTAGCTACACCTACGTAATTCGCAGTGTATAAATGAATTGAATCCACGTACAACATTTTTTCTGTGCGGACTCACCTTATGTGTCTTTTGAGCAGCTGTTGATATCCTTCCAAAGTTATTTTGTTCTCTCAAACACTAATGGACTTTTCTCCTTCACTGTTACTGCAGCAGCCATCTTTGGAACAACGTCCGTATTGCAGGAAGTTGGCTGTGATTGGATGAGAGCAAGGTGTTTTATTCTCTGATTGGTTAATTCACCTGTGAAGAAGTTTACTATTTTAAACACTCGTCTAGCAGGGCGTACAACTTTGATAACCCTTTGCTCCCCGTTTCGCCCACCCTCTGCTCCTGAGGCTCACCGGTCAGCATATGAGTGAGACTGGCCCTGGTGGATGTGGTGGGGCAGGACGCAGTGGCAAGGTTAAGTTTCGGCTCCATCTTGCGGTCAGTTCTGAGAACTACACAGCTATATTGAAAATCAAATAGACAAATAGCTTCAAATGCCCTTGTAAGTTTTGGAAATATGATTTTCTCATCGGATTCAGAGACAAAAATAAATAAATAAAATAAATAATAATAATAATAATAATAATAATAATAATAATAATAATAATAAATAATAACTAGAAAATTCCTGAAGAAATTTAACCGGGGCCTGCCAAAGTGTGCCCGTCAGTTTGGACCCAGCGTTCTGATGCTAAACATTAGCATCCATGCTAAAGAAAGCTGCAATGTCATCAATACCATGTGGAGAGTCACAAGCATGACTTACTGCATTAAGTAAGGAATAGCGAATACCTCATGCAAGGTAAAAGGCTAATGCTAATGCTCTACCTACAGTGCCCTAACTTGAGAGGAAAAGATAATGCAAGCTAATATCATTGCAGCGCCCACGGCGCTGCATTAGCCACAGCCGAATCTTAAGGCTTTTATTTTGAAATTTTCAGAATGCTTAATTTTAAATGGTCAATGTAATCCCATGTACAACAGTGATTTGGTTAAATCAGACATATAATGGTCAAAAAAGCACTTACTTAATATAAAATTGTCAAGGCTTTTATTTTGAAATTTGTTCAAAGCTTAATTTAAAATTGCCAAACTAATTCCATGTGTAACAATGGCTGGTTAAAATGAGTTATAAAAGGCCCAAAACACAAGCAGTTCTAAAGTCCAGCTTTTTCCTCTGAGTTCTGCCATGTTAGCTAAAGGGCCAACACCTTCCTCAGATCTCTTCCATAATAAAAACTACAGTGATGCGTTTTTGTAGTCCAAACCATAGCTCCGTTGCTATGGTAATGGATCCTCTGGCAGCTGTGAGTCAGACAGGGGGAGACATAATTCTATCAGTTTGTGGCAGCCATTTTCACTAAAATAGGCATGAGCCAGAAAGGAATCATAAGGCTTTTATTTTGAAATTTTCAGTAAGCCTCGTTTAAATGTCCAATCTGTTGGCGATTCTGACCCCAAATAAATTTTGAAATCGCCGTCACGCCCACAAATATCGCCCTATCGGTATCAAACTCGGTCATGACATAGATACGCATGCCTGCTCCAGTAAAATGTTTTCAAAATTCTTCTAGGGCTTACGGTTTTCTGTCTAGGGGCTTCAGAGCTAAGTGATGCGACAGGATTTCGACTCGCTCAGCCAGGATCACTTCCATGTATTTCTGAAAAATGTCAGACCTCAGCGCACACCATTTTTATCTCGTTGCTGTTATTACTGTGAGTGATGTACAGATATGAATCGCGGGACTATCGGAGACGAAAGATAGCGCTCTCATACGCTTCAAACGGTTTTCCGATACGTATCACGGTTTCCGAACAGGAAGGAGTTGTTCGGACCGCTTTTTTCAGTGAAAACTGACTGGGTGTCTCACAAAGATAGAATTCTTTCTGTCTCACACACATGACAGTTGCAGAGGATTAATTACCATAGCAACGAAGCACAGCAGGGCCGAGCAGCTAATTAGAACTACAAAAACGCATCACTGTAGTTTTTTACTATGGCAGAGCTCTGAGGAAGGAGCTGGCCTTTAGAACTGCTTGTGTTTTGGGGATTTTATAACTGATTTTAACCAACCTTTGCTACACATGGATTAATGTTAATTAACTTTAATTAATCTTAATGAAATTAAGCTTAATGAAAATTTCAAAATAAAAGCCTTGACAATTTTTATATCAATTGCTGTTTGGAGCATTTTAGAACTGATTTAACACAATCACTGTTACTCATGACATATGACGAGTCGGGAGTGAGAATGTTGGAATCGCAGTGCTTCCCACATCTAACGAATCGTTGATTACACTCTAGTTTGGACAGTTTCTAACTGACAAGAATTTTTGATGGTTTTTCGCTTTTTACTTTTTTTATCGTAACTCCGAATCCCACCAAAAGTAATAGCACCCCTCCCGGCGCCGAGCCGCACGATTTGATACCACTTTTGTGGGTGGGCTCGCAGCGGTACGAGCCGCATTCCGGTTGACGGAAGAAAAATAATAAACTAGAAATTCCTGAAGAAATTTAACCGGGGCCCTGCCAAAGTGTGCCCGTAGATTTGGATCCAGCGTTCTGATGCTAAACATTAGCATCCATGATAAAGAAAGCTGCAATGTCATCAATACAATGTGGAGAGTCACAAGCATGACTTACTGCATTCAGTAAACTAAATATGGGTAATAAGAAAGGGAAATAGGTAATATCTCATGCAAGGTAAAAGGCTAATGCTAATGCTCTGCCTTGCTGCGCAAGGCAGAGCCCTAACCTGAGTGGAAAAGATTATGCAGGATAATCTTATTGCACTGCCTGCGGCAGTGCACTGGTGGGGAACAGAGAAATGCTAATGTTTGTGCTAATGCTAATGCACTGCCTTGCTGTGCAAGACAGTCCCTAACTTGAGAGGAAAAGATAATGCAAGCTAATATCATTGCAGCGCCCTCGGCGCTGCATTAGCCACGGCCGAATCTTAAGGCTTTTATTTTAAAATGTTCAGAATGTTTCATTTTAATGGTCAATGTAATCCCATGTATAACAGTGATTTTGGTTAAATCAGACATATAATGGTCAAAAGAGCACTTATTTAATGTAAAATTGTCAAGGCTTTTATTTTGAAATTTTTTTAAAGTTAATTTAAATTTCCACACTAATTCCATGTGTAACAATGGTTGGTTAAAAATAGTTATAAAAGGCCCAAAACACAAGCAGTTCTAAAGTCCAGCTTTTTCTCTGAGTTCTGCCATAGTTAGAACTACGTGATGCGTTTTTGTAGTCCTAATCTTCTGGCCCCTTTGTGTTCCGTTGCCATGGTAATGGATCCTCTGCCAGCTGTGAGTCAGACAGGGGGAGACTTAATTCTATCAATTTGAGGCAGCCATTTTTCTTAAAATATGCATGAGCCAGAAAGGAATCTTAAGGCTTTTATTTTGAAATTTTCAGTAAGATTCATTTTAACTGTCCCAAAATAATCCAAAGTGTAACAGTGGTTTTGTTAAAAAAATCACATAATCCCCAAGAGAGCAATTCCCTAATATAAAAGTATGTCAGGGCTTTTATTTTGAAATTTTAATTCAACTTAATTTAAAATTACCACGCTAATCCTGTGTGTAACAAATGATTGTTACACAACCATTTGAAATCAGTTATAAAAAGTCCAAACACAATGTAATTCTAAAGGCCAGCTCATTCCTCCTCAGCAGTAACTGACAGTTCCGCCATGTTGTCGTTCTGACAATCAGCTCTGACTCTTTTGTAGGCACTGAGCGTTCTGCCATGTTGTAGTTCTACCTTTCAGGAATTGTAGTTCAAAAGCAGCTCAGTCCTCCTCAGTAGTAACTGACAGTTCCACCATGTTGTAGTTTTTATATTCACCTATGACCTCTTCTGTAGGCACTGAGTGTTCTGCCATGTTGTAGTCCAAACCTGCAGTCAATGTAGTTCTAAGGATAAGGTCAAGTCTCATGTCAGTGTGACACACAAGGAGAGACTTAATTGTAAATGCTTGAAGCAGTTAGTTTTTCTGACAGGCCTGAGGGAAATATTCCAGCTTTTATTTTGAAATTTTCATTCAGCTTAATTTAAAATTGACACACAAATACTGTGAGTAACAATGGGTTGCTTAAAATCAGTTATAAAAAGCCCAAACACAATGTAATTCTAAAGGCCAGCTCATTACTCCTCAGTAGTAACTGACAGTTCCGCCATGTTGTAGTTCTTAGAATCAGCTCTGATCTCTTTTGTAGGCACTGAGTGTTCCGCCATGTTGTAGTTCTAACCTTCAGGAATTGTAGTTCTAAAGAGGTCAACAGTCATGTGTGTGAGGCAGACAGATTTCTATCTTTGTGAGACACCCAGTTCAGTTATAATGGAAAAAGCAGCCCGAACAACTCCTTGCCGTTCGGGAACCGTGATACGTATCGGAAAACCGTTTGAAGCATATGAGAGAGCTATTTTTTGTCTCCGATAGTCCTGCAAATCAAATCTGTAGCTCATTCATAGTAATTACAGCGATGATATAAAAATGGTGTGTGCTGAGGTCTGACATTTTCCATAAAATTATGAAAATATATGGTGGAGAGCGTCAGTTAGGCTGGAACTTGATTTTGCTCTAAAGCACCTTGACAGAAAACCGTAAGCCCTAGAAAATTTTGAAAACATTTTACCGGACAAACATTCGTATCAATGTCATGTCTGAGTTTCATACCGATGATACGATGTTGTGGGGGGCGGCGATTTCAAAATTTATTTGGGGTCAGAATCGCACTGCTTCCCACACTCTAACGAAACGTCAGTTACACTCTAGTTTTGGCAGTTGAGCTTTTCGGTTCGGCAGTTGGAAATTTGGCTCGTTTTTTGCTTTTTACGTCGCCGTCATAACGCCGATTCCCCATAAAAGTAATAGCTCCAATGCCGGGAACGAGCCGCACGTTTTGATACACTTTTGTGGGTGGGCTCGCAGCGGTGCGAGCCGCATTCCGGTCTACGGAAGAAAAATAAAGAAGAACTAGAAAATTCCTGAAGAAATTTAACCGGGGCCTGCCAAAGTGTGCCCGTCGATTTTGACCCAGCGTTCTGATGCTAAACATTAGCATCCATGTTAAAGAAAGCTGCAATGTCATCAATACAATGTGGAAAGTCACAAGCATGACTGACTGCATTCAGTATACTAAATATGGGTAATAAGTAAGGGAAATAGCTAATACCTCATGCAAGGTAAAAGGCTAATGCTGATGCTCTGCCTTGCTCCGCAAGTCAGAGCCCTAACCTGAGTGGAAAAGATCATGCAGGATAATCTTATTGCACTGCCTACGGCAGTGCACTGTTGGGGAACAGAGAA